TCTTCAACTTGTTCTGATACATCGAATGGGTTGTCATTCGCTTCCATTTTGAAGACCTGATCTCCTTCCCAGAACATTAATTGTTGGTGCAAGGTTGATGGCACACATCGAGAGGCATGAATCCAGTCTCTTCCCAGCAAGAGAGAATATGTAGTATCTGCGTCCACAATAAAGAAAACAGTGGAGATCTTCTTTGGTCCGACTTCAATTGTTGCAACCATCATGCCTTCAGGCTTGGTCGGCTGCCCTGTAAAACTTGTCATTTCGAATTCCACAGGAGATAGATCATGTATTCCTTTTCCTAACTTCTTGAGAGTCTTCAATGGCATAACATTAAAAACTGCTCCATTATCCACGAAAACCTTTGTGATTGGTTTCCCACAAATATGAGCATTAACATACAGAGGCTTCAAATGGGAGATCGCACCCTCTGGAATAGGAGGAAACACAATCGAAGGTGGCTCCGGTTGAGGCTCAGAGTCTGAGGTCTTTGCCCCCTCTGTCTCCTCTAATTCACCATCTGCCAAGAAAGCCCATAAAGGTTCGTCCATAGTTTCATCTACCAGACTCGCCCACGTCGGTTCATCACTCATCTGATTAATCTCTGTCATTCGACAAGGGATTCGTGGTCCCAGACGAGATTTAACAGATCTTGAACTTTCCTCTGTAGTTATAACTTCTTCCTTCGTCTTGTTCTGAGGTTGAAGCGTCAAAGATTCTATACGGAAGTCTTCAAGAGATGGATTGATGTTGATTCGTTCACAATGTTGGCATCTAAAACCTTTAATTATTTCATCTGCCACACCTTTACCTTTCCCCAGTCCCGACGAACTTCTTTTGGTATGGTCGGAAGCGCCTAATCCGTCATTCGGTTGCTTTCCTGACCAGACCCGACTGGACCGACCAACTGGAGACTGAATGGTTACTCCCTGCTCGTTGGTCGTTTGTTCTGTAAAGATCCGAATGGACTGATCTCCTGCCAAGTGGTCGGCTGCTTTTTGTTCGTCGGTTAGTTGGTTTGCTGAAGGACCTCTTTTCCCATACTTTGCAGCATACCTGCGTTTGGCATTGCGAATCTGTGTACGATTCATACCCGGGAAACGAGGGTCTATATCAACTGGTAAAGGCTTTTTATTTCGAGCCCAATTGCTCCCGACCGACCCTGTTTTTCTGGTCGGGTGATCACGTATCAAAACCTTTTCTTTCACCTCCACATTAAAAGAACCATCTGGATGGTCCCATTTTTCAGCAACTGGCTTCTCACAAATTTTGAGTCGTTCTTCCGGTCGGCTGCTGTTTGGCCGACTTCCTTTTTTTGTTTCGGGGCTTGGCTGGTTTCGTTCCCCTTTTTGTCCATCGTTGGCCGAACTTTTCCTTGTTTCCGAACTTGGTTGGATGTCAACCATTGCCGTTGTTACATTCGGAAACGGTTGCTGGTCTACACCTAGAGTGATGTATTTGAGCCGACCTGTCTTGATGGCCTTTTGAATTTCCTTCCTAAAATGAGTACACTGACTTGTAGTGTGTGTGAAAGAATTATGCCACTTACAATATGGTCTCCCTTTGATTTCTTCTTTAGTGGCAAGTCTTTGGCCCTTTGGAATACGGATCTGCCCATCAGTCAGTAGGATATCAAAGATTTCATCAGCTTTCGAATTATCAAAGGTCGGTTGCTCCTTTCCTTCAGATCCTGGTACTGGCTTCAATTTAGGACATACATACGGTTTTCCAGAAAGGATTTCGGCTGCCATCTCTTCTGACTGATTAAAATCAAAGTCGCATGTTTCTGTTCCCATACTCGCCATATGTTGGCCTCTATTACGCCTGTTATGCTGATCTTCCTCTCTGAACAAAGATTCTAGACGTCCTGCCTTGGATGCAAGACTTGCCAAATCCTCAACATCCAGGGCAGTGAGTGCCTTCCTTAAACGAGTATGCATATTCCGGACCACTAAATTGGTCATCTCTTTCTCACTGATTACCGTAGGACATCGTCCCTTCATCAATCGCACCCTTTCTATAAACTGTGAAGCAGTTTCTTCTGGATACTGTCTCAATTCAAGTAAATCAGTTAAAGAAACAACTGGTAAAGGATTAAAAAATCTAGCGTGAAATGCCATCTCCAGTCCTTCCCATGTCTGAATTTGTCCTGGAGGCAAACTTACAAACCACGAAAACGCCGTTCTAGTAAGAGATAAACCAAACAGCTGTAACTTATAAAAAGGGTTATTGCCAACTTCTCCTAATTGTGCTGTGAACCGACCAACATGTTCTATGGTGGAAGATCCGTCCTCCCCTGAGAATGCATGAAAGTCGGGTGGTCGAAAATTCCTTGGGAGAGGGTGTTCATGAATGATCCTTTCTGGGAAAGGTCTTTGATATGCAGGGCGGTTAGCCATCTGAGGAGTTAATCCATACTGATCCCTTAATATATGTGCAATCTCATCAGGATCTACATGAAAGCGTTGATGATCAGGAACCTGGAACGGATCCTGCACAGGAATATGAATCGGATCATGTATATATCCTTCAGGCCTGTCCTCCCTTGTATTGTTCGGCTGCGAATTGGTAACCCTTGGTCCCAGTGGAACATTGTTGGGAAAAGTCAAAGGAGTTTTTCCCCGATCCATTCGGTTGGGATTTGTGGCACTTGGGAATGTACTATCCACGAATGATGGCCCTGCGAAATTTGCCTGTGGTCTGGACGGTGACATTCCTGGTGGCGTTTGAGTGGGTTGAAGACTAATCCTTGACAGTGCTTGATCTATCATGTTCTGCAACTGACTCTGTTGCTCACGCAACATGTTCGTTTGTTGCTCACGCAACATATTCTGCATAACCAAGGTATGCTGGTTGTTCATTTGTTGAACATAAGACCACCAATCAGTTGGTGGTTGTGGGATTTCCCCGGCATTTGGCACAATGGGTGGTGGAACGGATTCTCCCACCGGTGTCGAAGATGCTTGCGGTTGTGAACCTGCCATAACCCTTCCGATGATTCGGCCGGATCTAAGACGTATGAAATTATCGCCGGAATTGGAATGAGCAATTTTGTCTTGCTCCCACTGTGGTCGCCAATTTGTTGATGTAATTTTTCAACAAAAATAAAGTAAAATTCAAAGATATGAAAAATATCCTTAAACTTGATTAATTAGTGCCTGAGATTAGGAATCTCTAAACACTGTAACGTACAGAAAATAAACTGGAAAATAAAAGACTGAAATTTAAAGTGGTGATCCCCAAATCTGACTTTGCTTTGTTGAAGTTGATTGAAGATACCTTGCCAAATGATGAGCCAAATCCTTAAATATTCTTTGAAGAAAACGTACTGAAAACCGTCACCCGAACGGTTACAACGTCTCCTTCTCAACCGTCTTCCAACCTTTCTCATGCTGACACGTGTCCCCAGCAGACCAAAATTCCCTATATTTCACTCCTTGAGCCGACCACAAACCTTCCGCTCTTTTGGCCCGACTTCGTCCTTCGTCCGACCTACTTCTTCGCCCGACCCCACTTAGGCCGACCTCCATATCAACCGCCCCCTGACTTTGATCAAAGGCCTCCGCGTTTGTCCGACTCCGCCTTCTATCCAACCTACAGTTTACCCGACCTGCGGATATCCCATCTCGACGACTTTCCGTCTCGAGGACCTCCCGACTTGAAAACCTTCCGACTCATCGTCTTTCCGTCTTGCGGACCTCCCGACCTGAAGACCTTCCGACTTGAGGTCTTTCCGTCTTGCGGACCTCCCGACCTGAAGACCTTCCGACTTGAGGTCTTTCCGTCTTGCGGACCTCCCGACCTGAAGACCTTCCGACTTGAGGTCTTTCCATCTTGAGGGCCTCCCGACCTGAAGACCTTCCGACCTGAGGTCTTTCCGTCCTGAGGACCTACCGACCTGAGGTCCTTCCGTCCTGAGGACCTACCGACCTGAGAACCTTCCGTCCTGAGGACCTACCGACCTAAGAACCTTCCGACCTGTATTTTCCTTGATTTCCTCACGGTGTCCTTCAGCCAGTTCAATCAACCCTATTGCCAGGCCCATTCTTCTTTTTACCTTGGGCTTTTAACCTAATTCTAAATTTCGTACGTAACAATCAGTTTTAGATAAGAAGAGTATTTCGTGCAAACACATTAAGGTTTCACGCAATAAATAAAACAAAATGTGTTTTGTGTATTTTTATAGGTGTTATATAATTTATCCTTTGTTTTTTTACCATCATTTCTATGTAACTTCTTTATCTATACAAAACTCGAGTAATTCAAGCAAAGTTATTCAAACTAGGTGAAGCTCGCCTAGCCCGGCCCATATTGATTTAGACCCGATCCAGTGCAAAGCAATTGATACCGACCCAAACCTGATCGAAACCGGGCTGGGCCAGTCCATACAAGTAAAAAGTTTTGTTGTAACTTGTATAAATTCATATCAAACAAATCCTAGAATCGTTTTTTCTTTCTATGGTATGCTGTCTTATATTTTTCTTTATAACATTACATAGGGTTTGTTTACTTCTACGATTGATTATGTACGATTTTGGTTTTGGTTTTATTATTACAAATTTACTTTTCCTTAAAAAATATCAAATCAAATTTTAGTTTTGATTTTATTATTAATTTTAAGTATTTGTGTTTGTTCTCGTACATTAAGTTTTCCAGTTCGTTCATAGTGTTCAAGTTCTTTAGGTTTGATTAAATTCATTCGAACTCATTTGTTTTACTTTTTTTTATTTATATATAAATTTTTTTAAAAAATAAATTATTTTATTTTTTTTTTAAATTGATATTTTATTTATTTAATTATAATTTTATATGTATATATAATATTTATAATAAATATATTATCTTAGCGAACAAAATTTGACTTGTTCGTTAACCAAACAAGTCTTTTTATACTGTTTAGCTCGGTTCGTTAACCAAACAAGTCTTTTTATACTGTTTAGCTCGCTTCGTTAACGTTTGAAAACGAACCTTAACCAAACCGAATTCACGCACTGCTGAACTTGTTTAACAGCTCTAATTGTATTTACATAATTTATATGCTACAATCTTTTTTTTTCTATTATATGCGTCATTATATGTTAGAAGTAATTTTTTTCTTATTTCAGCTTATATCTAAATAATAGTAATAAAGTAGAGCGAGGGAAGGAGGGGAGGGGAGGGACAAAAACAGAATGAAAACACACATGAATCCTCCATAACTTGGGTATGAAATGAAATTGGCTCCCCACCCATTCCCCAAATTATTTTACTATAATTTCAATCATAAAAAAAAAAAAAAAAAACCACATACATATATATATATATATTATAGATATATGATATAGATAGATAGATGGAGAGCACAGAGAGAGAGAGAGAGAGAGTTGTGACTTACTTCACTAAGTCGATCATTCACTTCACTTGGCGCTGGCGAGCTTGGTCCTGATGTGCTTGGCGGCAGCGACCATGTTCTGGAGGGCGGGGTTGACCTCGGCGTACTTGCGGGTCTTGAGGCCGCAGTCCGGGTTCACCCACACCACGTTCCACTCCAGCACCGCCAACATCTTGTTGATCCTCTCCGCAATCTCCTCCGTCGACGGGATCCGCGGCGAGTGGATGTCGTACACCCCCGGCCCGATCCCCGCCCCGTACTTCACCCCCTCCCGGAACACCGACAGCAGCTTCTCGTCCGACCGCGAGTTCTCGATCGTGATCACGTCCGCGTCCATGTTGATGATCGACTGGATTATGTCGTTGAAGTTCGAGTAGCACATGTGCGTGTGGATCTGAGTGCTGTCTTGCACGCCGCAGTTGGTGATTCTGAAGGAGTGGACAGCCCAGTCCAGGTAGAACGCGTGCTCGGCTTTCCTCAGAGGCAGTCCTTCACGCAGAGCAGCCTCGTCGATTTGGATCACAGTGATGCCCGCCTTTTCCAGGTCCTCGACCTCATCCTTAATGGCCAATGCGATCTGGTAGCAGGTTTCAAATCTGTGGATCAAGAAGTCGATGTCACGGATATATATATATATAATCAGTTTGGAGTCCAAACGAGGACATGCGACGCAGCCTAGTACCTAGGCTGGTCGTTGCGCACGAAAGACCAGTTGAGAATAGTGACGGGGCCGGTGAGCATTCCTTTCATGGGGCGCTTGGTCATGCTCTGGGCCGCAGTGGACCAGAAGACAGTCATTGGCTTGGGGCGGCTCACATCGCCGTAAATGATTGGCGGCTTCACACAACGGGATCCATAGGACTGCACCCATCCGTTCGAGGTGAAGGCGAAACCGGACAATTGCTCTCCAAAGTACTCCACCATGTCGTTTCTCTGTAATTTAAAACACCCCAAAGATAAAAACGAGAACATTGCAAATGTTACTAGTTTTGTTACTAATTGTATTATGGCTGACCTCGGGCTCTCCATGAACAAGAACATCGATGTCGAGATCTTCCTGAAGCTTGACGACTTTGTTGATCTCCTCTTTGATGGATTTGATGTACTCCTCCTCGGAGATCCTGCAAAGTAAGAAGAAAAGGAACATAAGCTATGAAACTGCAGAGTTTGATGCGTTTTAGAGGAGATGAAGAAGGTACAAGCAAGAAGCACGCGCACTTGTTGGCCTTGTATTCGCGGCGCACTCGTCTGAGTTCTATGGTCTGCGGGAAAGAGCCAATGGTGGTGGTAGGGAGGATGGGAAGGTTAAGCTTCTTTTGTTGGGCATCAAGCCTAGCACTAACATTCGTAGCCCGGCGATGATCCGAGCCCTTCAAAGCGGAAGCCTGATTGATCGAAAGTGAGCGGTAAGCATCGCAGCAAATGCAAGTTCTAATTTGAGTGTGTGGAGAAGATTAATAATAAATGACTTACAGCCTTTTGAACAGCTTCGTTAGTTACTCTCGGCGACGATCTCCTAGAAGCCTGAGCGGCAGCATTGGCAGAGAAGAATGCCTGGAGGGAAAAACAACGGCGCCAACACAAGAATGAATCATTAGGTAATTGAAATCAAAATGAAGTGTGGATGTTGCTGACAAACTAAAATGTGCCTTCTTCATGTATATACCTCATCCTTCTGTCCACTCAATGCTTTTGCGAGAGCATTTACTTCGACGACCTTTTGTGCTGCAAATGCAAGCCAGGATTTGATTTCTTGGTCCAGCTTAGGCTCGTTAACCAGATCAACAGCAGTGTGGAGAAGCGAGCATGAGGTAGACACGACAAGCTTGTCTGAACATGTAAACAAAAACATTAGCCAGTGTAAAATGACAAACAAAAAAGCACGGTACTTATATGTTTGGTGGCATACCCTTTCCAACGATGCCTTCGAGAGACTTCAGTGTAGCAAGAGATGCGTCAAGATCATTTGCCCAAATGTTCCTTCCGTCGACAAGTCCAGCGAAGAGGTATTTCCCAGAAGGGAATCCACCCTTGATTAAATCGACGGTCTTGGTTCCACGAACCAAATCAAAACCAAAACCAGAAACTCCACTCAGCGAGGTGAGTGTTTTGTATGCACCTGCTGGTACATCAGCAAAGTAAGTCTCGATTAGGACATTAAGGCCGGAAACAGATGATTCCAGGCTTGCATAAGCCTTGGTGAATGCTTCCAACTGGTAAGACTCGAGATCCAAAACCAGCGAGGGCTCGTCAAACTGGATCCATGAGGCACCAGCTGCCTTAAGGTCAGCAATAACTTCCCTGCCAACGCAATTTAAATGGTGAGAATAACACCTTCTAAAAGTAGAAATTAATCTCTCTCTTACTTGTAGATTGGAAGAATCTTGTCAAGGAGAGAGAGAAGGGGAAAAGTTTTCTCAACACCCTTGGCAGGTTTCGATAGCAACAAAAATGTAACGGGGCCAACAAGCACTGGAACGGTATCAATGCCAAGCTGCATACGCAAACATGAAGGTCACTTATTTGCACCAATAAGGTCATGTAAAGAACCAAATAACTAAAATTTTGCTATGATTCTGTACAGTAAAAGCGATATGTAAACAATATCAAAGTTCTGTTTACCGCTTTAGCCTCTTTGTATTCATTAACTGCTTTGTGGGATGAATATGAAAATCTAACATCAGGTCCCAATTCTGGGACGATGAAGTGGCTGCAATGATAACGAAAACAAAATTAGATAAGCATACAGCAACAGGATGAGGGCACAATAAATTTGTATGTGAAGAAAAATTGTTCCATCACTTACTAGTTGGTGTCAAACCACTTGGTCATTTCCATGGCAGGAACAGAAGCATTTCCTCTAGCCATGGAAAAGTACGTGGAAAAACCAATCTCACCACCAGTCCAATCATATCTCGGGGGAACAGCACCAAGCATTGCAGCTGTATCAAGCACCTGATCGTAGTATGAGAATGTGTTGCTGGGAATGTACTTGATACCGGCGCCGGACATCTGCTTCCAAATGGATGCCCTGAGGTCAGCAGCAACCTTTTCCAAATCCTCAGCACTGCTTTTGCCATCCCAGAAGGATTCCAGAGCAAATTTCAGCTCTCTTTTGGGGCCCATCCGGGGATACCCAACAATGTGAGATGCCATTTTCTGATATAACAAATTCAATCAATTAACATCCAAGAACTAAAAAGCCACCATGTACAACATATTTTAAAGGCCATGTTAAGCACAAAAACAAAAAAGTAAATAGTATAAATAAAGCATAAATTACCCAAACGCTCAGATCCACATCTTCCTAAACAAAGAAAGTCAGATCCAAATGCAAGCACTGTACTTGTTCGTAACACAAAAACATACACCACATACAGATATAAGTATAACCGAACTAATAAACTCTAATTTAAGATCTACTAAACAGTAAGCACAATGTTCTGAATCCAGATCTAAAACCTTAGCATATGAAACTTAAGCCAAACCAATCTCCGGCACCAAATCACAAGCCATTTATTTCCCACGCTTTTCAGCACACTCACACCACACACTCTGTTTATCAGCTACAAAAGCAGGCAAGTAAGCAACTAAAACACACAATCAAACTTCCAAGCACACTCCGACCAGCGGTCTAAATCGATCTAGTGCAGAAACTTCAATTGATCGATTCCAACACAACTATCAACACACTGCCCAGTATCAGAACAGATCGAGCAACCAGCGACATTCAATAACAGAAACAGCAAGCAAATGCAGCAATTATAAGATTGAGGAAACCAAAAGGCGAGTTACAAACACAAACCAAACGGCGATGGACACTTCTAAGGGTGTGGAAACCGTACCTTGTGAGAATAACGGTCGGAGCAGATACGGAATTGCTTCCTTCGAAGGCAAACAAAGCAGAAGAGAGAACGGAATGGCCAGACGCGAATTGCGGGAAATGTGGGTGGGTTGTATTTATAGAGGAAGTTGGTGGTCCAGGTGCACCCGGGACCGGGGATCATATTTCGTGGACCGTCAGAAAAATGGAATTTTATTTTATTTTATTTTATTTTATTTTCCTCAATGTAAATAGCAATTGTTTTCTGTATTTTTAATATTTCTGTTGGGAGGTTAAATCACAGGCGACGCGCGCTGAAGACGCGTGAAGAGACGCACTTAGTTGGTGCAATTACCAACCACAGAATCTCATATGATAAGTATGCTTATAGAATTTTTTTAAATATTTTTTTCAGTATATTTTAAATATATATACATATATATATATGATTTCGAAAAAATTGACGCATTTATTAGCCAAACAGTATTTAAGATTATAAATTTTTAAGTTATAATACTATTATTTTATTTATTTTTCATAAAATAATGTTATTTTATATTTTTAAATAATGTTAATATATAATTTAAAAATAGGATATATATATTTAAATATTTTAAATATTAATATATCAATAAAAATATAGTTTTTCTATCCTTCAATTTTATGTTAATTTCTTTGTAAATTATATAAAAAAAATAGACATAAAGTTGATGGACTAAGGGACTAAATAAAATTATCATTTTTTTTTAAGAATAAAATTTTATATAATACAAATTAATTATTTTATTTTATTTTTTTATAATTAAATAGATTTAATTTTATTAAAAAAAAAGCAAATTTTTTAAAGTCAGCTACAAATATTTGCAAGAAATAATAGAAATTAAGACAAATATAATATTAGAGATTTAATTAAATAATTTTATAAGAAAACTAATATATTATTAAAAGTTATATGAATTAAATAGTAATGTGTTGTTTCCCAAACTCTTTCGAGCATTTCACATAAAACTTGTCTAAGTGCATATTACCGGGCTAATTGTTGCACTTAGCCTGCGGATTAGCTTGTAAGACTCCATTTGTTTTTATTTTCAATTCAAATTTTATTATTTGTTATTATTATTATTAATAAAATCACATAACAAATATATATTTAGTATATTATATTAAAAATTAAATTTATATTCAAAATACCTTTATCTTTTATTTTTATTTTTCTAACTGTTATTTATCGTAGTAATCTTATTTTGTATTTCTCTTATTGTTTTAAGTTGATGTAATTTGTTTTTATTTGTCTTCTTTGGTGTTTACTCTATCTTCTTTATGTCATTTTCATCGATTTTGTTTTTATTTATTCATTTATTTTTATCAATTTCTTCTGTCAGTATGAAAATTAATCTCGAAATTTTATTGAGTCGAAAAGAAAATTCACAAATCTATAGTCTTTCGACTGGCCATATATAATCAGTATATATGGTCACCTCGAAGTCAATTTCTTTCTATCAACAACAACAACACTTAAAAACAAACAAAAATATAGCAATCGTAAAATACACGTGTTATGTTTGATTAATATAAATTTAAAATTAGAAATAAAAATAATAAATAATGAAGCAATAAGAAATTGACAAGTTGGGCAGGTCCATCTCAAGAAAACGATTCATGGCTCAAATAAAAACAATGAAAGGAAATATACAAAAAATGCACGCGGCGTAACAGCACACTTTCATTTTATTTTATGTCGTGGGACGGAATGAGTATTTTTTTTTAGTATTATAAAATATTACATGAATTTCTAATTTTATACTATATATATATATATTTGATAGGATAGTTTTTTAAAAATATTATTTCTTCTATCAATCAAACTTAAGTATTTTTTTTTATCTACAAAACATATACATTTTTTTTATTTATAACAAATAACATTAATACTCATTAATTTATATTTTTCAACATCATCGCTACTTATAAGTCAATTTACAAAAGAATATAAATAAAATATTATTTAATTTCATTCATTCACTCGTATATTTTTCAAATTTATATTTTATATATGCTTAATTTATATAATATTATATTTATTAAATTTCGTAAACAAATATATTGTTATTAATGAATAGTATCAAAACACTAAAGACTATATATATAAACATAACCTTTGACTCTATTTTAAAATAAAAATTTTAAATTTGTAAAATTTTAAAAAACTTTACACAAAATATCATATTGAATACTTAACTTTTTATTTTACTTTTAAAATTTCAAAACTTAAAAATTTGTTTAGTTTTAATTTGAATCTAATAATATTGATTTTGATATGGGTTTTAGTTTAAACAACATTACGTCTGTAAAAAAAATAATACTATTACATTTTTATTAAAAATTATATAGACAACTATGTAGCAAATTCAAATTTTAATCTCATACCAACGCACCTTTAAAAAGTATTTACAAAGAACAGAAGGGTAAATTATATAACACTGTTTCAGTTAAAATGCACAAAGCACTTTTTGTTTTATTTATTGCGTGAAATTCTCTTATGTTAATGTAAAATTTGCACGAAACACCCATTTGTTCAAAATTGATGTTCGTTTCTAACTAAATACCTAAATTACGCAAATTTTATATAAATAGAAAATGTAAAATATGTTCAATAATTTTTTTAATAAAATAAATAAATAAAATACAAAGAATGTTATATAATTTACCCAAAATAGAATAATGTAATGACTATATCAACAAAATTATTCAAAAAATATTTTCTACAAATTTAGCCGCCAAATAAACTTGCAGATGTGGTGCAAAATAATTGGAGGTAAGCTGATTTTGACCTAGAGATTTTTTAAAAAAATGAAAAAATTAAAAAAAAAAAAGAGAGAAAAAAAGGAGTGTTTGTTTATTTTTATTATTTTGGGAAAAATCATAAAAAAAAATGAACAAATTCTAAAATTTACATTATTGAAATAAATTATTAAAAATGGAAAATAATAAATATAATTTCTTATTTAGTAAATATATATTCCATCGTAATTAATACTCATTACATAGAAACACTAATTAAAAAAAAAAAAACTAATATTTGAAAATAGTAAAATTAAACGCTTAGCACGTGTGCACAACGCGCCCAGTGAATGAAGGTAAAATGGCTGAAAGCGGTAGGTGGCTGTAGTTGGTGGGATACGAGCCCATCTTTGTGAAATACCTAGAATACCCTTAGCAGTGCATGATATTATTACGTCGTCGTATTAGTTTATTGGGATTGGTTGGTGAGTCCGTGGAACCCGCTGTATTGCCAAAGCACCAACACATACGCGTGTTTGTTTGGAATTTTGGTTAAATTAGTAAAAATGTACAAAGAAGCCCAAATGTTGTGAAATTAAATCAAAATATGCAGAACATATCTTTTTATCCAAAACCTGACGTTTTGAGGTAACCCACACCTAATTATATAAATTTTCTACAAATAAAAAAATAACTAAATAATTTATGAACTATTTTGTATAGGCGAAGGAAATATTATGTTGTATTAACATTTGAAATCAATTATTATCATGTTCTATCATAATTAACATATAAAATTATAACATATTTTGCATGTGCATTAACAATAGCCTCTAATTATTCACAAATCAATAATAATAATAATAATAATGAATAACTAAAATGATAATCATGGCTGCGTACCGTTGGATGAGATCTTAGGGAGGGAGGGAGGGAGGGAGCTAACCGATTTTCAAACTATAAAGATGTCTGTGAAATTAAGTTGACTAAATATCAATGTAGATTATAGCTGCCTACTCAAAAACGGTTAGTCCAATACCTCTGCTCGCCAATTATATCAAACAAGTTAAACTTCAAACTCAGATATTTGATTCAGTAATTTTTTCAAAAAATATCACAAGATATTCAAATAACTCGATCGTCGAGACAAGTACGGAATATATAGATAAAACTAAAAGCAACGAACCTTTGGAGAATCTAAAGGTTGTTTCTTTTTCCGATTGTGCGTCACCTGATTGCTCCGAGCAGATTGGCACCGTCGAGTTTTGCACCTTCCAAAGCCTGTCGGAAAGATCTCAATGAGATTCAAGATTTTATTTATGTACAACATCTATAATTCCTTAAAGATATCGTATTCAAAATTTATATTTAATTAAAAAGTTTCGAATTCAACAATGCAAACACACAAATGCCTTGATTACTCACTGCATCGCGGAGATTGACATCACGTAGATAAGCCCTTTGCAAATTTGCACCTTTGAGATTTGCATTGGTTAATTTTGCACCCTGGAAAGGAAAGGAAATCGTTGTAGATGAACACGTAAAAGCTTTATTTCCATTTCATAGAAGCCGGTAACATTTTACAATGTAAATGTTCCACTCTGATCAAAACTATACATGTAAGTGTATGAATCAACTAGAGTACGAATGCGGTCTGCGCATCTATTGATGAACTACGATGCCAAATGTAAATAGTTACACAAACCAAAGAAGAAGTGTTACCTTAAGATTGGCTCCCTCGAGATTAGCTCCTTCTAAGTTGGCACTCGTAAGATCGGCCGTCTGAAAGATATTTAACTTATATTTAGCAATGTATGCGAAGATTCATTTCAGGATTAAAGGAGAACTCTGAAAATAGATGAGAAAGTTACAGTTCTTGTGGCTGGTGAAAGAACAAAGAGAAATTACTAGAGAAATGAAGGGTAAATTATTAAAGACATAATCCAAATTTACGCATGCTCGACCTGTAGGTGTGCAGATCGCAGATCTGCGCCACAGAAGCTACAGTCTATCAAACAAGCATCTGCAATGGAAACAAAAGAAAAATTCAAGCAGATAAAAAAAAAAAAAAGCTTATTAACTTAGCTTCGAAATTCAAAGAATCATCTTATAGAAACAGAAATAGAAAACATCTTACAAGATTCAATGGTTTTAAAAAGAGAAATAGAAAACATCTTACACGATTTAATGGTTTCAAATAGGCAACAGAAGCATTCAAGATAAAAAAAAAAAAAAAAAGGACTTTACCTCAATGGGTTTTAGAAAATGAAGTCATCTTACCAAATACACCAATTTCCACTTATTCAATTTCCGTGGAAATTGTAAACATGAGGAATGATCAATTTAATCTCGTTAATGCCAGCTAAACAGTAGAAAAGAGAAGTGAGGTCATTTTAAAGCAACCATTTTAACAATATCAGTTGTTTTATTATATTTTAACGACCTACTACAAATACCACACTAACTAAAATGGCATCCCCTACGCTTCCTCCAAAACCTTCTAATCGTACGAGAGGTTACCCTGCAGATTAGCACTCTGAAGGTTGGCCCCAGCTAAAAGAGCTCCACGAAGATTAGCTCCTGTGAATTCACATCTTCAATGGTGGAAAGACAGTTTAGCGATGACAAAGAAGCTTACAAAAATATTTCAATGCGCATATATGGATAACCTTACTCTCTCAAAGTCGCATTATGAAATATAGAAGTCTCCGCATCTACATCCTGTATCAATTCAAAATTTTCCAGTGTGAGCAATATTCAAAGAAAATAATAAAGAAGAGCCCTATCAAGATTTCAGTTACAGTAGTGAAAATAATCCCTCTCATCAATTAAGATAAGGATTTGAATTTGAAACTTTTCTACTGAACCAAACTCAGTCCTTTTACAGAACTCAGGTCATCAGTGACTAAAACCAATAGTTAACGATAAATTTCCTTGCAACAATGTTATTATTATTATTGTTATTATTATTTCAAACGCAAGACCCTCTACAGCAAATTATGATGTAGGCTATGCAAGTGCCACCGGGCATGAAATGGAGGTCGCAAATCTACGCCACAGACCTTGTTCATTGCCCATTGACCCCATCCAGGTAAGTGAACACTGTTCCGAAGTTATTGGGGTGAAGTTGATATTATGCTTTCATGTAACAAGCAATGAACCTAAGAATGTTAAATAATTTATACTCCCTCCATCATGTAAAAATAAGCTCATTTGGTTTTTGGACATCAGTTTTAATGTGGTGCGCACTTTTTGCCTTTTATAATAAGAAAAGTAAAAAAAGTGGTATGATTTTTACTAATAAAAGAAAACAGGCCTATTTTTTAATGAATGACAAATAAGGAAAGTAAGTAGTATTTTTTTATGACAAAGGGAGTGTATTTCTAGGGGCACTTAGACAATGTTGTTATGAAGGGAAAAATTTTTTTTCTCTCCCACGAGATATGGCAGACAAGGAAGAAAACTCACTTTAAATTTGGCACAATGAAGATCTGCACGGGAAAAGAATACATTTTTCAGGCATGCATAGCTAAAGTCAACATACGATAGGTCCTGCATTGTATGAACAAAATTAGCCAAGACAGATCACAAGGGTCCACCATTTAAGAAGCTTTAGGAAGGTAGAAAGAGAAGAGAAACTAAAGACAAATATATTAAGATTCTGACAGATGAACAAAAATCTGCACTCCTTCCTGGTAGCCACTATAAAGCATAAGTTGCAGCCGTTTTGGATAATCAAAGTATTTGTAAGAACTAAGAACTGTACAAGAAAAAAATAAGGTGCTATATAGAAGTAAACATAAAATCAGATAAACATTAGAAGCCAAAACACCATATGTATTCGTCAGAATCCTAAGATCATGTTGAACTTCAGAGTTCTTTCTAGTTTCTCCATGCCAAATCACAACTTATCATCTATTTCATACTTTTCCCCTATATTACCATTGGAGTAAAACTCAAACAAACACTTTGGTCCAGGCATCTCATAACTTATGCAATAATGCATACACATTACTATGTCGTTAAGTACATACTGAATCATTTACCAGTTTTGAAAGATCAAGGCCTGATAGATTGACTCCTCGAAATCTGACCTTCTCAGACTGTATACACTTAATGATGTCAATCCGTGTCAGTTCTGTGCATATTTCCTCTTCCTCCTTCCTCTTATTCAAAGATGTTTTAATACCATCAATCAACCCCTGAAATTAAATGTAGCTCTGTTCATATACATTGAATGATGGAGGCATCTAGTTTTATCATCATGTAAAATTAAACTAAGTCCAACTAACCAGAGTTGCAAAAGATCATCGCAACTTCTCCAGCCCTATCTTTTTTCTTTTCCTTTTTTTTTTAAATCAAGATTTAGATAGTAAAATGTTGTCAAACTTATAGCTGCTCATTTTTATAAGCATTCTAGAAATGTGGTACTGTTAATCTATTTCCATACAATGGCATTTCAGTAAAATTGGTTTTGATATCCAACTTATGGATGAGAAATATATATATATATATCTTCAAACTAAGAAAGTACATGCAGGCAATCAGTCAGTAATAAGACTTAGTCTGAAATTAATGTGTTTGAACTAAATTATCATGCCTGATTTATCAACGCAAGCTAATTACAGGTCTGAAATCAAATTTCCAGTTTGTGCCTTATATCATAGAAATACACTCCCAACTTGAGATATCACATCCACAATAATACTACAAACTAAACCACACACAACAAAGAAATAATTTTTGGAACACAAAAAAGAGGCTAATCAACTTTGGAAATATATTACTCGGTCCTACCGATATATATATATTAAAGGGAAAGAATGCCATACTATTTCTTATCCATTCAAGGCAAGCTGCATGGTTCAAAAAAAGAATATTGTGTCCCAGAAAGTCAGGACAATTAAAAGTAAATGGGTAAATAATGATAACATAAAGTATATAATTGTCAAAGCATAGGAACTGCCTTACTAGAAGCTGGAAATATTCAGCCTCTTTTAGAAGTTCCAAGTATTCAGAATCCTTCATAATAGGGACTACACCGTCCCTCAACCAATTCAAAATGTGACGAAAATGTTTCCCATCTCTATCAACAAAAACATATCCCTGCAGCAATATCAGTTTGAACAGTTAAACTATTTGCATTTCAAGACTTAATAACCACTATAATTGATATCTTGAGGATTTCTAATCCTATAAACACTCACTCACATCATGCCTACTCAAATTTGCATGCACCCACCAACCTTCTTTTCTCATGTCTGTAATGTACAAACCTTACTATTTCATGGAAAAAAAGATCATCTTTTACAAGAGTTATACTTCGTAAATTATGTGAGTACATGAACAAAACAAAAGGTAATGTGTGGGTCATGCTTGATTCATCGTTTAAACTTATCAACTAAACTTATTAATTATTCCCTCTTCTTGATTACCAAAGACAAGCCATCCTTTGTTCATCAATTGAATAATTTAACTTTATCACCTCCTTCTCTAGCCCTATGTGAGCATCTATTCTAGATAAATGTCTTGATGGGAATGAAGTAGAGATTAAAATGCTTTCATATTGATGAAGACCCTTTTATGTAAATACCTTTTCAGAGTCTTGATACAGAGCATGGCGTCCACTGAACATTGCTGCAAGCATCGAATCAGGCTCACGCTGAGTCAAGGTATCAACTGTTGTGCAAAACTTTTTCCCTCCTATACAATAATAACATAGAAACCTCAGTTTTCTAGTAGATAAAGACTCCAAAATTAACTCCTAAACACAGAAAATCTCGAGCACCACAAAACCACCATGTTATCATCCTTGTGTTCATCAGCACTCTCATACAGATCAACAGGTCAAGAAATTAGGATGCTCCAACAATCAATTAACTAGAATGGCAGGCCTGTCTCCACTTGTCCACGTCTGGGAATTACAGAAATACACTACAGAAGAAGGCACCAACTTCTGTCTCATTGTTGTGACACCCAAATATTTGTTCTGAACTTCTCTAGTAACACAACCATTTGTCTTTTCAATCTCAATATTGTTTTACACACAATTTTAACACATTGTACATGATCACTCTTCCGCTATAACTAGTTCCAAAATTATAGCAAGATCGAGCTTCAGCACATGGCTTCATGCATTGATAATTAAATTTCCTCGATCAAATCAGCTCAAGCTCACCAGAAAGTTAACACATTGCAGGATCAAGGACACATATTATAACTTTCAAATTCAAACTTAGAGAAACTAAACCAGAAAGGTGTTCGATTCAACCTAAAAGTTAGACAAATTCTAAGCAGAACTCAAATACAACTTTTCCTTTTTATTCAACAAACCTCCAGTTTACACAGGAAATTTTCTTTAAAATGACTTTCGAAAAATAGACCCACCATTTCCTAGGCTTATGTTAGGAGGGACCATATTGGTACGATGATAGCTCCAAAAAGAGGGATATAATCAATTAATCATAATCAAAACAGACATTTACCAAACCCTTCCCTTACTTCCTAAATCAGAAAGGCGGTTAGGATTTCAAAATCAACATCTAAAATCTCTATCCTGCTTATTCCTCTTTGACATTACAAAATTTTTTCGCAACACAAACAAGTCAGTGATGTCTCGAATCAAAACAAACACCAACACTAGATAGCGCAGCTGCATTAGAAATTAGCACACGATTCACACTACAATATCCAAATTAAGCTTTCTCGCGCTCCAATTTGCACAGTAACCCATCTAATAGCATACGCACCGACACCGAGATAGAGATATACCGATGTTTAGCCGGACCAGCGACGAAGCAGCGTCGGAGTTCAAAGTCATCTCAATCTTTGCAGATATCAGCAACGCCGACGCCGCGGCTTTGGGCGGAGGCTCCGACGGAGATATTGGTGACCAAAACGGCGAAGGAATTCGTTTACTTACAACGTCGGTTAATGTCATATGGCAGTTTGGCATCTATTTCTTCTCGATTTTCAGACAAAGTCCCTCAATTATCTGATAATAGTATTTGATCCCAAATTTTCTATCATGTCCAAAAACTTTTGCTCGTTAATCATTTTCATTTTTATTTTTTATTTTGTATAATTGAGATAATTTTTATGACTTTTAATAATGTAATCCATGAAAAAGCAAAGACTTATTTCTTGCCGCCAAATTCAAAATCGACCCAAGTAGATAGAGGCTCAAAATTAGCCCAGCTCAACTTTCAGCATTTTCTTTCACATTTTCAATTTGATTTTTTGCCTTCTCGTTGCATTATTTACAAAATCATCGCAAATCATTTTTTGGGAGGCCGGGAACCCTTCGAATTAGTCAATTCCGACAAATTCTTCCGACTAAACCGAAAGTGGCAATTTTCTTACGACAACCCATATATATTTTATATAAAATATTAGCTAAAACAACAATAATTATATATATTTTTATTAAAATATAATATTAAAAAATAATTAAATATATATTTTAATTTTTTGAATTATATATATTAATTTATATTTTTAAAATATCACAATATCATTATATACATATAGATAAAATGAAGAAAATTAATCTGGACATGATAACACAAATATCTATAGAATTTTGACACCATTCTATCTTTTTTATTTCAAGTTTTTTTACAAATACAATTTTCAATAATAATGTTATATAAATTTACTTACCAATTTTTAAAGTTTTATCTGTTTTGTGTTTTTTATATTTTTTTAAGTAAGGTATGAAAAATTGTATAAATAATATATATATATATATAAATATGTGCAATATATTAATATTTTTAAAAAAAAGTATGTTAGAAAATTTTGGTTAAAAGAAGAAAGCTTAGTCATCGATTATGATGTTTTTTAAAAACATATCAACTTCTACATGTTTAATCTCGTAGAGCATCACATCAACTACCATTTTGTTTTTTTCTTGAAAAATCTCATCTACACAAAACCACAAGTAAGTTTATATCAGTTGTTTTTCTAGTCTTACCTTACCTTGGATTGATCCGCACCAATGATTTGTGATATTCTACATCCATATGTGATCTCTAACCATTTAAGATCAAAGCATAAAAATATAAACCCGAAATCAAATTCTTACAGCCTAGATCTGTCCATCCTAAGGTACCACATAGGCTAACTCTGTCGTCAAAAGGGATCTCTAAATGACTTCCGAAATAGTAGCATCCCGTCTTCGCTAGTTACGTCTGGCTTTCTCAAGATCGGGAAGATCTGCAACCACATTAAGCATATCCATTCTTGTAAGATTGAATTCACATTATAATTCCATTATATATTTCAATTTAAAATACCACGTAAACACTTATTTATAGATTTCAATTCTAAATTTTATTATTCAAATCAAAATCAAAATCAAAATTAAAATCCAAAACCAAAAACAAGCCCACCAATAATATATATACACTCTACACACTCACAAAAAATCAACACAATATTATTTTTCATATCTCATACCTAACAAAAAAAAAAAAAAAAAAAAAAACTTTTAAACTAAAAATACAAAACAAATACACCCCAAATGAAATACTTTTTTTTTTTTATATATATATATTACATTAGAAATCAATTGTACATTAAAAAAATCGCGTTAAGATCCATTTTAATCACATCAAATAATTATTACAATTCAAAATTTTACTATTCAAAATCCAAAATTTATGGCTCCGAAAACCCATGAACAAACACACCAAAAGGATATGAAATCATATCAAATCACTATATTTTCCTCCAAAATCACAAGTAAACACACATAATTTTCTAGTATGTAGTGCATCGATAACAGAAATTTGAACTCACAGAGCATCCCTTCATCGTCGCTGCTCTCTTCGTTCTCCCCAGTATACTGTAATGCACAAAACCTCATGTCAGTATATCAAAGCAACAACATCGAACATAGTATCCAATCACTACAAGGAGTTCGTGTCGATTACCACAACATCATCGTCTGAAGCCAGATTTGCTGCAAGCACACAAACTAAATGTCAGATACAAAGAAACCTAATGATGAGGGCGTTCTTACGCCTGAAGGAAGGATAAAATAATAAAGAATGTCACATACAAAAGAAATCTACGAAGGTTGTTGTCTAAAATAGATCTTAATCATGCTCGTCTACAGTCAGTTCAGCCCTTGTCATCCAAATACATAAGGCTAGTACAAATAGCAGAGATACATTGAAAATGTACGATTGTTAAATTGTTTATTTGATAACCACATATCCGAATCGACAAAACAAAACTATACACATGAATATATTCAATTGCATCAACAAAACCACTCTTTGCGCATAAGTGCTAAAATTCAAACAGATCAAAATATAACTATATAGCATCGATGCAATCTTGAATTGTCAGACCAGCATTACTAGGCTTTGCTCTATAATTTTTTTCAACTTCGTTTTCACAGTATGCAATACCCAAAAACATAATTTTCAATACCTAAACTCAATTCAAAATATCTATCACATGGAATAGCTAATTTTCACTCCAAACAATTCAAATCCAAAATGTACCCACGACACCAAAAACACAAGTAAACACAACCTAAAATGATCTTCATAGTTCAATAAGAAATATTATTAAAAAACAATAACCACAATATATCAATATGATGTATATGAGGCGTGGGAAAACTCACCCTCCGAATCTTCATCATCCTCGTCGCACCATTTATTCCAATCAACCTTAATGTAAGGAGCAGGCTTCTCCTCAGATTTCAGAAGCCTTCTCCACCAGCCCTTCTGCTCCTTTTGGATGGAGCACAGAATATTCCGTAGCCCAGTCTTTGTTTTACATCCCTGCATTAGGTATAGCACAGAAACTCAGAATAACAGAAATTCGAGGAGAAACATCTGGATTGACTTGAAGATTTATAGAGGCATTTGTTTGACGGATTTCTACATTAGATTTTAGCATAAATCTTATGTTAAGGACCTGCATATCGTCTCTAAACATAATACAAGCAGATTTTTTTATTTTTATCAGGACCACTATTCTAAATCTTTGCAAAAGCCAGGATTACTAACAATTGAAGAACTAATCAACAAATTATCAAGATACTTGTTCCAATACAGGCGAAGATTCTAGAAACTGTGATTACTTTACAGGGCAACAGCGAGTCGATACAGAACAAAACAACTAATCAAATCCTCGCAGATGAACTGCGCAGCTTTTGCAACAATCGATTTGACTATAGTTCATTTAGAACTAAATCAATTAACCACTGTTCACGAGAACCACCATTCAAATTCAATTTCACATCTCACTTATCGGGAAGCAGTACTAATTGCTCATAATTTTGAAACCAACCAGCGATTCGTCGGAGTAATTTCGATTTCATACAAATGTTTCAACTTCTAATCCAATTTCCCCAACGGCGTCGCGACGGGAAAATGCCTGAGATGAAATTTCAGAAAAAGAGATGCCGCGGAAGATACCTGAGGGGAAATGTTGCCGTACAGTTGGAGCGCGAAGTTAAAGGATTCGCCATTGGCACCAACGGCGGAGAAAGTGAAGTGACCTTCAGGTTCGCACTTGACAGATATGTCCTTGGCATCCGGCAGCGAGACGGTGAGGTAGACCTTGTCCGAGCGCTGCGCCCACAGCACCTCCGGTTGCCGACTGCAACAAACGAAAAAACGACGTCGTTGTCAGGCCACATATCAAAACCACCGCCCATTCTTCCATCGGAGTAACTTTTCCTCACCTCATTGGTTGGTGCGAAGGATTTGAAGTTCAAATTTTGAAAGAAACCCCAATGGCAATAATCAGCAATGGTGGTTTGATTCTTTCCGTACTCTCTAGAATATTTGATATATTTACAGCAAAATATATATAGAAATAAATGTCAGATTAATCATTGATGGAAAGTAAAATAAAATTCATAAAATCAATGAAGATTTATTTAATTAATAATTCTTACCCAAAAAATAATGAGATATTTTAAATTATGTAAATTTTTATATAAATAAACGACTAAACAAATTCACTTTAAATATAATAAAAGTAAGTAAAAATATCACACAATAAAATATAGTAAATAATAAAAAATATAAAACAAAATTCCAATAAAAGATAAAAATTACTATAAAATATACTCTCTTGGTAAAGAGCCTTTTCTAGGTTAGTAATAAATTAAAATATTAAGTTGGTAAAAATATGTAAGATATTTTTGTCTTTTAATTTTATATTTTAAAATAATTATGTATATATATAATAATATATTTATAATTTAAATAAAAATTACAAAATTATTTTAATATTAATATATAATATTTTTTCTAAAATTTTGAATAAGATAAATAAAAATAATAATAAAAAACCTTGCTTTTGCATAGCCCTTTAAAAGCATATATATATATATATATAAATCAGTCAATATATAAATAACTAATACATGATAATAAAATATAATTTCTTTACTAAAAATATATATATATATTTATATTACTACATTTTTCCCGAGACAGTAGTTTTATTTTATATTTCTACCTTTGTCCTAGACAACAATTTTATTTTATAGTCTTGTTTTAATAAATATAAATAAATTTAATTAAATTTTTATATTTTTTACATAAATAATTATTTTTATCTATATTTAGAGCTATTAATTTTTATTTATTTATTTATAAAACTAGTTGCTAGTTTAAGTTAATTATAATTAGTATATAAAATAATACTAAAAATATTCAAATATATATTTTATTATTATTATTTTTTTGATAATATATATTAATACATATTCTTAAAATATCAATCAACAAATGTGTTATGAAGGGATATCAAATAGGCCAGGTTGGCCTGGATGCTGCTTAATAGGGCATGGTTGGGTCTAAAAAATTAACACGGATATCATACTGAAATTGTAAAAATCAGTACAGCTGAAATTAATCACGGCCGTTAATCTCATTTAGTATTACTTAGTAGAAGGCTAAAAATATAATTTTATTTATTTAATAATGAGATTCAGCAATGTTGAATTAAAATATAATATTAGCACATGATCCTTAGCACTAAAAAATTGGTTCGGAGTCGACTGTAGATTTTGTGTTTTAGACTTGACTGGGTTTGGGGCGGGTTACAGGTTTAATTAAAAACTCGCATCTTTCCGGATCCGAATATTTTAATAATTATTATAATTTACTTATATTTTTATATAATATAATATAAATTATATTATTTATTTATTTAAAAAATTTAAAAATAAAATAGAACCTTAATGTCTTTGCATTTGCTTCTTCTGCAATTTTTTTATAATCGGAACTATGATTGACAGCTATAATTACTGACTATTGTCAATTGTTCTTATATTTATAATTTTTTGAATACTTTCAAGCATTTTTTTAATATTAAATTATTTAAAACAATTGTATTTAATTATTTTCTTAAAAAGACGGGTTTGTCAGGTTGACCTCGAATCCAAAGAGTTCAGAGCCGAACGGGTCTTGGAGTCGGGTTGAAACGGGGTAGGGCGGGTCTTGAGTTTTAATATTTTCTAACGAGACGGGTCTCGAAGCCTGCAAAATCCGTCTCGAACTCGACCCATTGACATCCCTAATTGTCATCAATTCTGAAATTCAGGTGGAATAATCCAATATATTATAGATTTCCAACATACTAAACATATATATATAATTATACAACACATACAATTTTTATATAACAATATGAGCTGTCCTATATAAAATATGAACTATCAATTTTGATCTTTTGTCTTGAAGTAATCAGTACTTTAATCTTCGCCAAATAGCAATTATCAATTTTTTTAATTCAAAATAAATTAAAAATTGAATTATATATAAAATTTTCGAAATTTTTTACAACTTCTCTGATTCAATTTTATATTTACATTTCTTTTCAAATTATCATAAAAAAATATTTTATATTTTTAATGAAAAAATACGATGTACTTCCTTTTTAATATAAAATAATCTTTTTATTTTTATTATTACCATTATTGTTTATTTTTATTAAAATTTATGCTCAATCAATATATTTTTCACTACCAATGGAATAATATTTTTCAAATTGAATACAATTGTTTTTGGATTATTACGGCAAAATCATATTTCATTATGTCAGCGTAACATAAAATCATATATCTAAAATGAATTAAAATTGTTTGTAATGAATTAAAATGAAAAAATTGTTTACATAGAAATTAAAAATAATAATTTTTTAATTACATTGGGACTAATATTATTGTTTTCCCCATTTTAAATTTGGAAGTAACAAGGTAAATTAGCAAACATTGCAAGGTTTTTCTGTTATTTTCTCCATTTACTTTTACCACCCACAAAATTAAAGGTTCGTTCCTATATTATTCCGATATTGCAAAACAGCCCCATCGTGATTCGACGGCGGAGAAGAAGACATACAGACGGCCAGACGCTCATCCAATCATTCCGACGGACCGGTGATGGCGCTGGAAGGTGGGGGAGGAAGCTTGTCGGAGTTTTACTCTTCTTCTAAGCGGTTGTCTCTGAAGGTCAGGGATGCCTTGGAGAGGCTGGAGCGTCTCGAGTACACGTCGTCGTCATCGTCTTCACTTTCATCCTCGGATGTCGCCGTCGTTGGGTCCTCCAACGATCAAGCGCCGGCAATTCGAAGAGATATAAACCAGATCCAGTCCTTGTGTGCCGACATGGATCGCCTCTGGCGCTCCGTACCGTCCAAGCCTCAGCGCGATCTGTGGAAAAGGTTTCTTCTTCTTTTTCGACTGGTTTTAGTTTGCGTGATAAGAAAATTGAAATAAATGTGGTGGTGGTGACGTTTAATCTCTCTGGCATTACCGACCGATGCTAATTCCGGTGAATTTGACGAAAAGAGTAAAGAGCTAATTACATGTTAGTTGTTTTTGTGCAATTAATATCGGTGAAAGTAGATCTAGGATGAAGAAGATACACATTCCTTGACATTTCTCTGAAACTGCTGGAGGACATTTGCTAAAATTGTGTTCTATTGCCCTGATCTTGCTCCATTTCAAGGTCTGCAAGCTGATTGCGAAGATCAAATGGTTTTGTTATAGTAACGCACACGATTGCATCTTCCTCTCTATATATTCATTGTTCTACATTGATAGTGGAGCTGCTGGACAAATTAGCTGTTCTGTTCTGTTCTGTTCTTCTAATTAGATGACTTTGTGAGGAAGGTGAAAGTTCTTTTCAGCATGATTGCTAAATCCATTGGCAGCAACAATTGTGAGGAAGGTTTCTTCTTCTTTGGGGCTAGTCTTTTGGATCAAAAACATGGCTCGTGAGTTGTATGTGTTGATTCAAAAGCCTTTCTGAGCAGAACTGTTGGATCAGCGATAGGATTTGAGTCGTCTTAACTGGCATTGCTCAAGCATTGTATTAGACACATGCATATATTCATTGGTGATGTATACTCTACCTGTATGATTAGGTTTACTTATAATTTGTCTAAACTTCATGTCGTCAATAATCTCGTCAAAGTAGTAATTCTTTTCTTTCACAAGTTCTTCTTTGTTGTAATTTCTTGAATGACAACAGTTATTTGCTCGGAAGAGGTTACTGTGTCCATTGGTGAAATCAATATAGTGCTAATTTTCCCAATCAGCTGTGTTAATTGAAACTGTGTGCTAATTTGTTTTATTTATAGATTATGTTGTATGATCATAGTTTTGTAAGAATTGGGATATGAATTTCCTATGTGCATCTGAATTTTCTGTACTTTTTAAAATTTCTTTCGTTTTTCACTTGATGATCTTTGTGTCTTTTTGTTCCGCAGAAAAGTGGAGCAAGTCATCGAGGAGGCTGAATCATTTAGAGCTAGCCTGGATAAATACCAAACGAGGCAACACAAGCGAATGCAAGAAGCTCGAGAGAGAGCCGAATTGCTTGGGAGAGCTGTATGGCCTCTTTTTTTCTTCTTAATAATTCAAGAACAATAGGTGTATTTGTTTTATTTGTTCCAGTCAAGCTGTTCCCTGTGTCGATAAATCCCATATATTTCAGAGTGGTGACTCGCACGTATTGAGAATCTTTGACAACGAGGCACAAGCAAGGGAATCAGCTCACAGATCTTCAAGATTACTGGAGGAATCCTTGGCTACGGGAGTTGCAATCCTTTCCAAGTACAGCGAGCAAAGGGATCACTTAAAGGTACAAGCCCAATGATACATTTCTCTGAAATGCTCGGAAACACATCATGTTTTGCACGAGGGGGACAGTATCATCACACATTACTACTGTTGATTGATCTCAACTCTACATAGAAAATACCAACATCTGTGAATTGGTTTGGTGCAGAGAGCTCAAAGGAAAGCCCTGGACGTGGTGAATGCGTTGGGGCTGTCGAACTCTCTGCTACGGCTGATTGAGAGGCGGAATCGAGTGGATAAATGGATCAAGTATGCAGGTATGGTGTCAACAATTGTCATCCTGCTTGTGTTCTTGAGGTGGACACGATCATAGGATCTTTAAGGTATTTCTATTCTACCCATCATCAAGTTTAGTTGATTATTATATATTGTTGTCTGTTATAATCTTTTCGGTTACTATTTATTTTCCTTAAGTATTACTACAGGTTAAACAGAAGCTCATCTCAGTAACTCCATTTATCTTTTCCTTTATCCGAGCTGTTTTGAGGAATTGTTTTTCAACTTTTGAATTTTTTTTTTTTTTTTTAGAATAATAAAAAAATTAAATAAGAGATAGTTTTTAATTTTTTTTTTCAATTTTTTTACTATTTATTATTATGATTGGGCTTGGCATCAAACACGCAGTGACTCAATCTTGGGCCTTGATCTAGACTCTGTTAATTGAAAATTGGCCTAGAATTGTTTCCGGGAAATCGATCCACCTGTTTTTATCATCATAATAAATTACCATCATTTGGGCCGAGTTAGTATATGTTTACTTTGGACCAGGACAAGTTTAATTTTATATGAATTCAAGCTGCACCCGGCCTTGGCTGGTGTCCTGGAATGGAATTTAAAATATATTCTCTCCGGTCCAAAGGGATTATTTGTTTTTTTTATCAATTAATTAATAATTTGACATTTTTATTTTTAAAAAGTATAATAAAATAATAATATTTTTATATTTGTATATAAAATAATTTTGAGTAGACAAATCAAAAGATACTTTAAATTGAAATAAAAATAAATATTAGATAAATAATTTAAAAATATATAACTTCTATTTTACTTTTTTCAAACAAATTTATGTAAATTTATTTGGAGATAAAAATTAATAATAGTAATATTTTAATATTAAAATAAAATAAATAAAAAGTAAAATAAGAATATAATAAATAATTTGTTTAAAAAATAATAAAAACGTGACAGAATAAATATAAAAAGTAAGGATAAACCAATTATTATTTATTTAAAATAAATAGAGATAATAAAATAAATAAATAAAATTATTTATTATAAATGTAATAAATATAAATTTAATGGAGAATTAAAAAGTAGCAACATATTTTAGCGGATCAAAAAGTAACAATTATTTTATTTTAAAATATCAATATACAAAATATATAAAAAAACAAAAGAAAAAACATCCATTTATTTGGTTGTGTTTGCCAGCAAACTTGTGGAGCGATATAAAGTAAAAATTATGTCAAAATAAAATAAAGTACTATCCGTTCGGCTCTAAAGTATCGTTTATAATATTTGAATATTAATTATTATATCAAAATATATAAATTAAAAAAAAAATTACAAAATTAATCTTATGATAGTAGGACATTGCTACAATACAATAGAGACGAATGAAGTATTGTTTATAAGATTTTGGCTAGCTTTTTACTATTCATTTTTTTTTAATTATTAAATTAAATATTTATTTGTAATTTTTATTATAATAAAAGAATTTAATTTAATTTCAAATCTAACACATATATTTTATATATCATATCAAATATTATTATAAGTTTAGTTTTAATTATTCAAATTCATACTCTAAATCAAAATCCCACACATAAATACAGTTTATTTTAATGTGATACATTACTTTTGTGGTAATGGATCAAATTTTAATTGAAATATTGTTTTGTAACATTCTTAGTCTATTAGGGCTCTCGCCAACGACGTCGTAATATGACGCCGGAGACGAACGTTGAGCAGGGCCGGCCGAGACGCGGCGGCCGGAGCAAATGGTGGAGCGACTCTCGATGGGTTCGCGTTAGCTTCGTGATGACGGAGATTGCGCATACGTAAGTTTATCATTAAAACATTGTAACTCTTAAGTCTTAATTCAATTTCGCCCTAGTTTTTTACATTCCCAAACTACAAATTTTCCTTTCAAAGATCGTGTATATATAATATTGAATTTTCTTTGGAATTTATGAACCCTGCCTGTAATATGAAAAGGGGTGTGTACTGGTGATGGAACATGGTGTGAATCATCACTGTAATTCTGATTGCTGAATCAATAGTTCTGTGAATCAGTAGGTTCATTTCTCTGATTCGTATGGCAATACAAAAAGAAGGTAATGCTTGTTATGGTTAGATTCACTTGGCAGTAAATATGGAATGCAAAATGGTGATCTTGTGATATTGCTTTCTTCCCACAGCATAGAGGTAAAGGTTTGACAATATGCTATATTTTTGCCATTTACAATACAATAAGAAGAACTGATCGCGCTCTAGTAATAATAAACTTATAGACTTAACATGTGATCACAAAATTGGCCATGGAAACTTTGTGGCAATGATGGTTCATTGAGCTACTCAACTAGTTCCATTTACATTGAGGTTTTTGGAGTTTTGGAAAGTTTTGAGGATAGTAAAACCTTGAATATTTGATAGGACGGATGTGTGAGAGTAAATAATTATTTGATACGATGTTTTTTTGGATAAAGTTATTGTTGATGAATAATGTCACAACTTCTAAGAGTGATTGTTAGTCAAACTCAAGTTATAAAATTGACTATGTGCGAAATAGGTATTTATTCAGATGGGCGAAATAGCGACATTTTGTTATATATACATATACATATATATTTATATTTGAGGTAAAGCTGCATACATAAGTTATTCAAGAGTTTAAAGTTGGGCTAAGCCTCACTAAGCTCAACTACTTCCGGTGATTTTAGCCATACCACAGTCTTGATTTTTGAGAAAGTTCATGAAAATTATCTGTTAATATATCCAAAAGCTTGAGCTTCGACAGCCACCCTGTTGCATTTCTGAGGAACTTGAGCAGATTTGAGTGAATGCCTAATACATATATATACATTTCTGAGCTTTGATGTAAAAATTTCAGGAATCCTCAGTTTAATAGATGATGTAAATAAAAATTAAATTTTATAGAACTTTTTGTTAAGTCCTAACTCCTAAATAAAGAATTTTACCCCTGTTTGGCCAATTGACAAATAGGTTACATCTATTCAAATATTTGCTTTGTAATTGCATGGTATCTCATTTTAAGATGAAAATTATAGTAACATCATAGGTAGGAACTGACTGAAACACGTTGGCCGTCCCTGGAATTCTTGATTCAGTTTGTGCTAGTGGCTCAAGGATTTTCAACGTACTCGCTGTTAGCTAAGGAATAAGTATTAAAAGGCTCGGCTAACAGCTACTCAGCCAAAGCTTAGACAGAAAGAATAAAAAAATTATATAATTTCTTTTGGTCATCTCATGGGAATATCATATGCACAATATCGATATTCTTCTTCTTATATAATATTATTTATGTGAAATTACACAACTGAAACCAGAAGCTAAGCTCTGCCTATAGCAACATAAGAGATATTAGGGAGCTAGATACCCTTTTGAATCTTTGGGAACTGGAATTTAGTTTAGTCAATATAGAGATCAAACCAAACATTAGTGGAGAAAAAGGGAATAATACAAATATATATACAGTGTCACAGCATTTTCTTAAACTGCAATGATGTCATGCAAAATATAGTGAAACTTCAGAGTTGGTGCCCTTCAGAAGCAATTCTTTAGTTGTGCTAAAATTATTTCCATAAAATGATTGATTACTGTTAGAGAATGGAATTCGAACATATCATGGTTATGGACTCATTTTGCCTCCTTTGCAAGTGTAGTATGATCATATTGCAATTTTCTCACCCAACCTAATCTAGTGGGAGGTCTCATAAGTAATTGGATTTTCTTTGGAGTTTGGAGGTTTTGTCTATGGTTCTTGCTTCTAGATGCTATACATTTCTAAACTTCGATTCTGAGAAACAAAGGTAGAGCAGGACACTATTATGTCTCCTCAAATGCAAGAAGTGAAATAAACCTATCTTATTAACCTTCGCGTGGATCAGAGCGGGAGTGTTAAATATTCCACATGGATAAAATGTTGAAGCTCCCCCTTTATAGGGTGAAGGATAACTCCTCTCAGTATCAATTGGTTTTGAGATCGAGCTTCTTCACATAAGATAATTACGTGGAATTGGAGTATAATGGTATAAGGGTTACTCAAATTCAATGTTTCATAGCTTATATGCTATTTCGTTTTGCAAGATTTTATCACTAGTAAAGGACAACATATCATGTTATTCTTATATAATATAAAGCAACATAATAAAATTGAGAATGGAAATTAAATGCTGGTATTGAACTAATGCTAGCGTGTCTCTGATACTACAGGTTAGAATGATTCAGAGATAAGTAAAATGTTAACTTGAGTAAAATTGGATGCTTTTTTTTGTTACTTTCTATGTATCTCTTTTTCCTTCACTTCTTTTGGTGACAATTAAACTATTATATGGTAATCACAAATTAAACTCAAATTAAAATAATTCCAAGAATTCTCGCTATTCAGAACTTTGGATATCTAGAAAGAAGTGTCGATTCTAGTTTATATCTCAACTACTTCAATAAATAAGATTGTTTGTTGGTCGCTACATTTATTTTGATGATATATATTACCTTTTATCATTTCATAAAATTCGAAAAGATGCAGAAAATGAGGTGTAGTGTTCACAAAGAAAATATAAAATATGATTGACATGCGTCACTCAAGCGACAGTGCCGTTCGAAAATGTATAACTATGGACTAGCTTGCTAAATACACTGACGGTGAGCTGCGACTGTGACAAACCATCATGTTAACAATTTTTTTTCGCATTAGCCCATTTTAATTATTGTTTAGAAGGCTGAGAGAGTGTAGGAGGGAATGCAAGGAATAATTGAGGATCTTAAACAAAGGCTTATATCTAATAATCGTTTGGATCTCTTTTAAAGGGCTTATATGACAATAATCATGTCAAGTTTACTGTATTAACAAGAATAAACAGCTTACCTATAAATTAGTTGTATAATTTACAAAAAAGTTTCCTCATCAGAATCTAATAAATTAGAAATAATACAGTGTTTACATGTAGTCCCATTATTAGTCAATGGAAAAGGACACTGTCAAAGTTTGTTCCTTGAATCACAAGAGTGAGACTAGCATTTCCCATATGAAAGCCATTGAACAAAGCCAAACCGCTCGTCGTTACGTGCAAGAATTAAGCACCTAAATAAAATGCGGCAGAAAACTAAAAGCTTTAGTGCATCATCATACATACAGCTTCATTGCTGTCTTTGGCAGTAACTTTGCTCAAATTTAAGCCCTTTTCTGGTGGCTTCTGAATCCTCCCCCTCTAGGTCGGCGTTGCAATGTGAGACTAGCATTGGATGATGTGGAAACAAATTTGAGAATAGAAATCCGACTTCTTGTTGTGTATTTATGGAGGGTTTGAGAAGAATTTTGTTATATATAGAGACTCATAATTAGGTGAAAGGGGGAAAGGGAGGGTCTCTCAAACAATGGCTGTTGACGTGAGGCAAGTAATGGCTGCTTTTCTTACATTTTCCATGTTTATAATGCTTGGAAACATGATAAAGAGAGATCACATCGATCCACTTCTGGTAAGTTTTCTTATCCTATTGTTTTTATTTTTATATTGTTTTTGAGTGTGTGATTTACATTGTGATCGATTATATTTATGCCCTGCCTCTCTTAAGATAGTCGCTCTATTGATTCTAGAAAATAGAAATGATACTTAGAAAGAGTAAAGGGGAAACATAATAGGGATACGATCAGCACCGTTTATGATGATTTCTCATTTTTATTAAGTGATACGTTAAAAAAGGGAAAGCATTTTCTCCCTTTTTCTTTTATGTACCTGTTACAGATTTACTTGTATTAATTCCAGAATCTGATTGATTCTGATCTGGATTCTATGCTGTTTACCGTGCCTAAAATAGATCTTTGAATTTCAAGATACCAACTTGTGTTTCTCTGGAAACTGGATAAGTCTCTCCTTTAAAATATAAAAATAAAAGTTCTGTGAATTGGGCTGTTCAACTTTCAATTAAGAAGCACAGATGGGTGTAAAACTTTATATTTTCTTTTCTTTTTTTGCGGTTTAATATTTTGGTTAAATTCATCTTTTCCGGAGTATTATTTATTTTGCCAATATGTAGTTACCATGTATTACACACGGAGTACACATTTCTTTTCTCTTTTGCAGAAATATGTTTTTCCATCAATTCTTAGATGGTAAGAATTGTAAAAAGTGACCAAATGTTAAATCTTCTGAAGAACTGGGTACTAATATAAATCAAGACTTCTTATAATAGTATTTCGGTATTTCTGTAATTACCGCGACTTATTTAGATGGAAGAAATATCTTAGTGTTACTAATGAACAGAATGAAGGTAACATCAAATTCATATTTTCCATTCGTTATACTTACATATGTATTCACATGCATTTACCTTCAAAGTTTGACGAGCAACATTGCCTAGACGTGGAAATTTACTTGCGTAGCATGTAGAATATGATATGTACCGTCAAATACCAGTTCATCCATCAATGTATTCCCTTTCTTTCTGTAGGATCCCTTACCGGTGTCGCCTATCGTCCAATATGGCGCCCTTAAACTTACAAAACCAGGCATGGTTAAGCTCACTGAAATCAATTATGGCCCCTGGAAGGAAAGCAATTCACCTCCAAGACACTGCTGGGACGAGAAATCATTAAGTAATTATCTTCCAACATCATTTCTTACATGTTCGTTTGTGGTATATATAATCTACGATTTCTCGCCCTTCACTGTTTCTTGTTTGCAGGGAGGGGGTATAAATCCAATGGATACATTTTTTTTTCGTTGAGCCATAGCCCCGAGTTTCATGCTTCTCAGGTTCATCCTTTGATCTTTTGAGCTACTCGTGGAATCCATATTCCGATTCTAATGTGGATTCATTTTTTGTGGGATCTCAGATAGCAAATGCTGTGGTCGTAGCCAGGCATCTCGGAGCAACCCTTGCACTACCCGATATAAGAGGAATCAATCCGGGGGAAATAAGGTGATCGCTACGAACATGGCCGGAATCATATTGCGTTCGCTTTATTCACCACATGACAGCCTGTGTTTGTTTTATTCGTATTGTTTTCAGGCAATTTGCGGACTTTTATGATGTGGAAAAATTCACGACGAGTCTCAGCGGAGCAGTCGACATCGACAAGAATCCGCCATTGGGAATATCGACCGAGAACCTCCCTGTCGTAAGAGTCCCCAACAGAGTTTCCAAAGATTTCGTCGCATCAAACATCGAGCCCATTTTCCGGAGCAAAAGAAACTTGAAGCTCGTCACCTACTTCAACGCGTCGATGATTACCAATGGGAACAACATGGACAAATTATCGAATGCATATCGGTGCCAGGCAATGTTTGAATCCCTCAAGCTGCAGGGAGAGCTGCAGGAGCTAGTCGACACCATGGTCGGGACTCTTCGAAGCTTGAGCCAGAAGATGCGTGGCCGTTTTATCGCATTGGACTTACAGGCCGAGATGCTGGCGAAGAAGAGCTGCCAATTAGAAAATGACGACGCGGCGAACAAACGGTGCTACAATGCAGCGGAAACCGGAGAGTTTCTGAAGCGAATTGGGTTCGATAAAGACACGACTGTGTATATAACGCAGACGGGATGGCACAGCAGCCTCGACTCATTGCGAGACATCTTCCCCAACACTTTCACAAAGGTATAATAAACACTCGTCTGCTACAACGATATCTATCAACGCCTTTTTTTAAAGCATTTTGTGATTGTGATGCTGGCAGGATGCGATAATGCCAATTGTCGAGAAGGCGCGGTTCTTGGATGCAAATGGTGTGGGCTACGAGCGACTGATCGACCACTACATGTGCGCGCAGGGGGATGTGTTCGTCGCAGCGTATCCGAGCAGGTTCTACGAGAGCGTGGTGGGCGACAGAATTGGGCGCGGGAATACACAGGTATTCGTTCCGGCTGCGAGTGGTTCGGGTCTGGCGACCAATTATGTGTCCCCTTACGTCGCAAAGAAACGGCACCCGGCGTATTCGTGCTTCTGCTGAAGCTGTTGTTGTGTTGCATTTTCCTGTCGTTGTCGCCGCCGATGATCATACTCTCTCTGTTTGTTATCCATTTATCAATAAGATAGATGCTTTGGGAAGAAGCATCTGTAAGTTTGTTTTTGGCCTTTGGTGGTGCGGAAGTGTAGGTTGTGTTGGTTTGTTTGTTTGTACATTTTTTGAGATTTTTTACTAGGATTATTTATCGATTTCTTTTCTCTCAAAAAAACATCAGATAAATATTTATTATTTATTATTTATATTATATAATAAAATAAATTGTGTACGAAATTGATCCAAACTTGCCATAAAATTTGAGGTCTGGCATGGCTAGGATGATTTTTGTTGTACTGATGATTGATGCTTTACATAAACATAAACCCCTGCTGTTTGCAAGATCATTTTTTATATGATGATCTAGTAACTTGTGATCGTATATGATGATCTAATTTGCAAATTAAGAATTCTCAGGTTATGAAAATAAAAAATAAAAAATAAAAAATTGTTACGACACATGTTTTTGAAATGGTAGGTGTCATGTTTAGGTTTTGCCAAATCAGGATTGAAGTGTATAAATTTACTAGTATTTTAGAAAAAGAAACACAGCAAAGAGCAATTCCATGAAAGCAAAGCAGTCTCCAGTTGCAATATCACGACACGTGTTTCTCAATATCACAAAATAATTATAATAATAAATAAAATAGGGCAGGCAGAGGCAGTTGTTAATAAATACTGAAAAGCTATTGTATGCATATTCTTGTGATTTTCAGTATTCACTCAATCCATATCATATCACATATATACACGAGTCGTTCTTATCAAAATTAATTTCTCAGCTATAGACATAGACATAGACATAGACAGACAGGGAAGAAGAAGAAGAAATGGAAGCGACGAAGGAGAGGAAGGAGCAGCAGCAAAAACAATTGCAAATGAAAGAGGCGAAGCAGGAGAAGGCTACAGATCCGATGGCGAAAGCGATTAGAGAAGCGGTAGTCGGTAAGGCTGAGGTGGAATCTCAAAACCCTAGCGTTAGCAGTAGCAACAACGAAAACGACTCTGCACCTGCAACTGCAACTGCAACCTATATAATAGATAGAGCAGATGAAGTTTTGGCTTATTCCCGAGCTGTTCACCACACCGATTCTTCTCTTCTCCATTAATTATCATCTCTAAAATAAACTAAGCTGTTACTGTATGCACAAATTCAATTGTGAAACAAATAATGCCTATCCTATCCTCAATACACACACTTAATTAACTTAGTATATAAATTATGTTTATTTGAAGAACTGAATTACAAGTTTACAATATACTCCCTCCCTCTCTCCCATATACATATACACACTACACTAATTCTACAATCCATGTCGATACAAGAATCTACATAAACTATAATTAATAATAGGTAATTAAAAAGTGTCTTAGTATTTAGTAAAAATAATTATAAATTCAAATTAAGATACATAACTAGTTTAATTAAGATTAAAAAAATTATAAAATTTAAAATGTTATTAAAGTGGATAATTATATTTCTAAAAAAAAGATAAATCATGTGGAATACATGAAAATAGAAAATAAGATAAATTACGTGGAACGGAGGGTTCGTCCATTAAAATAAATAAAATAAAGTGATAATATAGTTGGGGGTATTTTTTTTTAAAATTTAGTTGGAAATAAAAATAAATTGATAGAAAATATAATAAAGTCAGTGGTATTGTAATAAATAATTGTTAAATGAAAGGTAATAATTAAATATTAATTTTTTAATTTTATTAAAATTAATAATGTGATAAATTTAGCGGACAAATTAAAAGAAAAAATGAGAATAAATTTAGGAATACGAAGTAGATATTTTGTGTAACATTACATTATATTAGGTTTAGGTTGGGCGTGAGGGGGAGCATCGAGATGGTCACTGATACGAGTATATCAAAATATGCTATCGACATTTCTAAGAAATCTAAGCTCAAAACTAAAAAGAACATCCCCTCAAATGTTAACGAGACAATAATGTACACGTTAACAAAATATATATATATATATACTTTTAAATAAAATAGATATAGATAAAAATAGTAAAAAGAATATATTTAATTAAGGTATGATAATACTCTATTCGTATATATTTTAAAATAAATTTTCGTATTATCCATCAACATTATTTCTATAAAATATATAGAATCAAATTATTATTTATGTTTTCAACATTAAATTAATTGTATGTTTCTATATAACATATTATATTATTCATATTATATCAAATACTAATAGTTTGTTTATTTGTCTAGTGTTTTTATTTAATTTTTTTTATATGAAACATAGAAAATTATTTCAATAATATAAAAATAATATTTATACTTCTTCCGTCTCAATTCAAAGTATTTTTTTTTATCATTTTCGTTTGTTCAACTTCAAAATATCTATTTTTTATTTTAGTAAAAGTAATTATGCATCAATACCAAAATATCATTGACTTTTACCCAAATTAAAAGCATAATATTACACATACAATTACTTTTATATAAAGTCAAAGGACAAAAATATCAAAACTTTTATTAATTTTCATTAACTAATAAAATAATATTATTTTTTAATTTACTACAAATCCAAAAGAGCCCGGAATACAGAGAGTATTAATTTTTAATTTTTGTGAGATGATACAAAATTTAGTCAAACAAACTTAGAGATTATTTTTTTAAAAAAAATTTCAAACTACCTTGACATCATCCATTATGTAGTATTATTAGTAAAAATATAATACTAATTCTTTATATATATATATATATAAATTATAATGTCAAAGTATTATATAAATTGAATCTTATCAAAACTTCAATTTCGAATCAAAACCACAATCTTTATTTTTTATTTAATTTTTTACTATTTTAACAATTATTCGAATGAAAACCACAATTTTTATTTTTTATTTAATTTTTTACTATTTTTACAATTATTCGAATCAAAACCACAATCTTTATTTTTTATTTAACTTTTTACTATTTTTACTATTATTCGAAAAAATTGTTAGTGTGTTTACTTGCGATATTTAATTTTGGGTTTTACTATTCCAATTTTTTTATCCATCTAAAAATATCTAATCAATCACTTATTTTTTATTTATTATATTATACCAAAATTAACTTTTACATTCAAAAGATCACATTAATACATATTTATATAACATCAAATAATTATTTTAATTTAAAATTTTACTATTCAAAACTAAAATTTTACAAATAAACACACGCACGTATTTTATTCCTCGTACAAATTTATATTCACTTTATTTTTACGAGAATTGTCATAAAAAAACATTAGTTGATTTTTTTTAAGTAAAAACCAGATACTCTTTTATTTTTTATTATAAAAATAACAATTATCTCTCTTTTATTAAAATTTGTGTTCAATAACATAAAGTTCACTCTTATTAAAATTTGTATTAAACCAAACGGACATAAAGTTCAATATCGAATGGAGTTTAATATAAAAAAATTAGTCCAAATAATTGTACATTTATTACTTCTATCATAATTCAATGTATTATATTTTAATATTTTTGTTTGTCTATCTAAAGTATTTATTTTAAAAGTAATATACGAATATTAAGAACAAAAATTTTAAAATCATCCTTCAATTTCCACTCATTACTCGTTGATAAAATACTACTATTTTTTTAATTTATTAAAAAAAATTAAAAGCATACATTCATTTGCAACCGAGAAAATATAAGAACAATGCTGCCAGTGGTACCAGGCCCTCAAACTCCCTCGAATCCCCTCCGTTCTCAGTGCAAGCGGTCTGGATTCATCGGGACCCGCAGTCCGGGGACCACCCAAAAATAGCAAAAATCATTACTAAAGTCTAAAATAAAACAGAAACAAAACAATAACCAAATGCATATGCAGTAAAACAACACAGCACAGCACTCTTAGGTTGTGTTTGGCCGGGGTTTGGATTTTGAATTGGGATTTGAATAGTAAAAATTTTGAATTTGAATAGTTGTATGATGTGATATAAATAGATGTTGATATGATATTTTGAATGTAAAATTGATTTTTAGTATAATATAAAAAAAATGAAAAACAGGTGTTTGATTTGATGTTTTTTAAGAAAAAAAATTTGATGAATAGTGGATTGGAAATCCAATTTTCCAAACAAACACACCCTTAATTAACCTCCAAATTCATTCAATCTCATCATCATCAACGCCAAAAAAAAAAAAAAAAAACACAAAACTAACTCGATTACCAAAACAAAAAAGTTAATCAATCTGCAATAGAACTAGAAACTTAATTCCAATTATTCATCAGTCAATTCGGAAGCAGCAGCATCGATCAATTCAATCAATTGAACGCTAAAAAACAGCTCACAAAATGCAAATGCATATATGCAGCAAAACAACACAGCACTCAAATCTAAGCTCCAAATTCATTCAATCAATCTGATCATCATCAACGCCAAAAACACAAAACTAACTCAAAATTACCAAAAAAAAAACAAAGCAAAAGAAATGAATCAATCTGCACTAGAACTAAAAGCTTAATTCCAATTATTCATCAGTAAATTCAGCATCAGCAGCAGCAGCATCGATCAATTCAATTAATCGCACACTAAAAGAAAAAAACACAGCACTCACAAGTCACGAAATGCTACGAATAGGCGACGACCAATCGCCGGGAGCACTGCGTGCAGGCGTACCTCCGCTTCACCACAAAGCCGACGGGGACGAAGCAGAGGCGCCAAGGACGGCGGACGTCCACCGCCGCCACTTTTCCGCCGCAATGGGGACAGGTTCCGCTCGCTTCGTGCCGCGCCAACACCCTCTCCTTGTCGCCCATGTGTAAAATTCTGGTAACCGCTCACCTCTTCAGCTCCTAATTTTTTATGATTCGGATCCATGGCGGTGCGGTGCTTAAATAGTACTGTCCCCGGGGCTGGACCCATGGGCCCGGGCTCGCCTGTGTTTGCTTGCACCAGGCGCCGGGAGCACATTGAATTGTTTCAGAGCTGCCCTAATTTGGAAGCGTGTACGGAAAGTAGTAAAGATGTGTTTGTCTGTTTTTTGGTAACGTTTTTGGTAGCGTTGTGCTTTCAAGTAATATATCGACTGTGTGCACTGTGTTTTAATTTTCGCTTTTGGTGCTATTTGGTTTTTAGTGTTTGTTTGATCTCTACTTCCATAATATATAATCTTAGTAAAAATATATTATTTTTTAATAAAATACTATTACATTAAATTGCATTTAAATTTTAAAAATAAATAAATTCAAATCCAAACACAAGTAAAAAACAAATGTTTAGACTATATAATATATTAATTTTTTTGAATACTAAACAAATAGTTTGTCAATTTTAACATTTTAATATCACTGAGCAACACCTATATCAAAATATAAATATAAATTCACAAAAATAAAGTATTTTTATAAATAATTAAAAACTAGATTTGCAAAAAATAAAATAGACGGAACAAAAGACAAATTTAAATTACTTTGTAACTAAAACAAAAAACAATTGGGCGGAACAATAGCATCCTCCCAAATCAAATCAGATGGTGAATTCTACATTATTACATGTGCATCGGAGCTGAGCTGCTGCCAAAAACAAAAATACCATAATATATAAGGCTAGATTTCAGAAGCTTTTCTTTTCTCTTTTCATTTGAAATTTTTTCTTTTTTAGAAATTATAAAAAATTGCGAAGATAATATAAATATAACAAATATGTAATATATTAATTAATTTTTTTTTTTGAAAAATATGTTAAAATTTTGGATAAAAGAACAAATTATTAAAGTGCTTATGTATACAAGATTTGAGTTAAAAAAAACTAATATTAAAATTTTGAATTGAAATATTTAAATAATTTAATATAAATACATATTAACATAATATTTTAAATATAATACTACCTCATTTCAGCTCTCAGGGTCATATTTACTTTTTGTATATCTTTGGATATTAATTGTTATATCACAACATAATATAATTCAACGAAAAATGACAAAAACATTTTTATTAGTGTGTTATAATATTAATATAATGATATTTGTACAAAAAATTATACAAATATAAGAATATTTTTAATATTAAATACAATGAAGCAAAATATAAATATAATTTTTAGAGGCGAACGGAGAAAGTATTATTTTTATAATATAAGAAATAAAAAATAATTTAAATTTGATTTTTTTTAAAAAAAAAATGATGAATAATAATAGTATGTTTGTTTAGTGAAATTGTTTGAAAAGATATTTTATTTTTTTATATAAAGTATAGAAAATAATAAGTATGTAATATATTAATTATTATTATTATTTTTTGGTTAAATTGCACAAAACTCATCCGTAGTTTCACAAAATTGCGTCAAAACTTTTTGTGGTTTTATAAACGTCTAACCTCTCAGCTGTCTTCATCTAACAATGCTTGACCTACATGCGTCCAAACTGCGAATGAATTTTAAAATCCCTATTCCAAAATTTCTAAAATTACAAATATATTCGTTCCTCTTATATTTAGCCTGACAGGACAGTCAAAAAAATAACAAACTCTTCGATGGAAATTACTATAGGTACTGAAAATGTCGACTTTAAGTTTTTTTTGTGATAAAACTCGAAGACATTTGACCTATGTCTCGGATGTCCAACAAAGATGAATTTGTATCTAAATTCACTTGTATTGAACCATGGGAATGAAAATGAAATTTGTAACCTTTTTTTGAACCCTAGCTAGCTCATAACGTTTTCAAAGTGCAATACATATATAGTATGGTGTTTGATATATAACCCATGTTAATGTTATCATATACAAAAGTCTATTATCTTTATCTCACAAGAGATTATATTTAAATGCTACAGTACTACTTATTAAATTAAAAATAATAATAATAAAAAAAAAAAGAGTAAAGAATATTGGTGAGTGGCGGCACGTGCTTAGCATGCAATGCATGCAGACAAAATTCACACGAAAAAACTCTCCCAACCAAGGGTGGTCCAATTGTAATAATTGTTTCTGATACATGCACAAAAATTGGTCCTCATATCAAATAAATGTGTGCTGCTGCATTCATTAATAAAAATAGTAGTATGTCCAAACTTGTACTCAATTCTTTATTTTTATTTTTATTTTTAATTTCAATGCACTTTACATAATAATAATAATAATTATAATAATAAGACATTCTATCAGAATATATATATATATATATGCTTTGCTCGTAAGTAAGATACGTAGATCTGTGTAAGAATGCACGGTATATATAGTTCTTCTATTATCCAAATATATGTTTACTTATTTTTTTAAGTTGTTAAAATAAGAAATTCTACTAAAAAATTATATAATATTTTGTAATTTTCTTATTTTACAAAAATAAATTTATTTATTAAAATTCGTGTTTGAACACAAACTTAATAATAATAATTTTATTTTTATTTTTTTAATTTTCTTGTTAATAAATATTTGACTTATGGAGGACCAGCGTGATAAATAGGACCTATTGGAAGCTGGCTACAAATTTGGATTTTTCGACTGATTCAAGAAAATCACAACCAAAATTACACAAATGGAAAGTTGGAATTAATTAAACACTGAAAACCATAAACGAAACGGAAGGAAGGAAGGAAGGAAATTGGAAAAGAACAGCAGCAACAATGCAACTCTCATAAATTAGAGATAAATATATAAAAAAAATAAAAGAAATTAAGGAAAAGAAGAAATAAAAAATGCAGAAAATTTGGTCGTTTGACCCTTGGGTGAACTTGTCATTGTGAGGTTCCTGTGGAACGCCTCCGAAAGTAGTAGTCCAACTTTGAGTAGGCTTATTGTGGAACTCTATGGGTGTGTTTGTTTAATTTGGGTGTTTGAATTTTTTATTTTTTTCATTGAAATTTGAATAGTAGAACTTTTAAATTTAAGTAGTTTGATGTGATGATATAAATTGATATTATATTGAAGTGGTGTTTTGAATATAAAATTAATTTTTAATATAATATAAAAATAAAAATAAAATATAGTCTGGAACTAGTAAATATCATGGCTAGTAATTAATAATTACCGTATATAACAAATATCACTAACCCAAAATATAACCAAGTAATATGTAAATTACAAATCTAAATAAATATAACAACAAACAAACATTGGGTGCTCCATGATGATCATAGTAAATGAAAGTCCATCATCATCCACTTGTATCGTCTGTAAGTTGACTGTCATAATCCTAAGCACCCGACGTGACGTGACGTACGTACGTACGTACGATCATCACTGCTAAATGAGATCCACTTGGAGAGAACCATATATCGTCCAATAATTTAATAACATGATTAATTAATTATTGAATCACAACAAATTTTTAAATTAAGCACTTGATCCATCTCCTAAAAATAATTATACATATTTTTGAAATATATTAATAAATATACAACCAATATCATAAATTTTAAAATCTCTAATTTTAATATTCAAGCATCCAATTTATTACTCTCCAAATCCACACTATTGGAAATTTATCGGTAAACAGAGGTTTTTGAAGACTTTTGAAAGTTAAAGAAAAAAAAAATAGTAGTATTTGATTTGGTGTTTTGTGAAGAATCGAAAAAAATGTATTTGATGTGATATTTTTAAAAAATAAATAATGCCAATTAGTGAAATTTGATTATGTATGCGAAACGGAGTCGTAACTTCATTATCATCGTTTCAATAATTTAATCTTTTTGAATAAAAATAAATGATAAAAAGGTTTTAAAAGTTTATTGAGCCGACTAAGCCTGACCAATTTCAAATCAGCTGCGTTTGAGCCTAGAGTTTGAGGCCCAATTTTAAATCGGGCCGAGCTGATTTCAAAATTATGTTGGATCAGCACTGGTCCAATTAGACTTGAGAATGACAGAATGAATCATATTTGTTTGAACATTTTGAGTAATAAAATTTCCGTATAATATTAATAAATAAATAAATATTTAATTGAATATTTTAAAATTAAATAATTATTATTATTATTATTATTTAAAATGCCTTGAAACAAACGTGGGCCGAATGTAGTGAGAACAGGAGGCAGCTCCACACCACATGTTTGTACTCACAATTAATTATTTAATGAATCCAAGTCCATATTATTGACAAACTTCTGTGGGCCCAGCCCATTATGTAATCACCAATGAATAAATGCAATAAGCCTCACTTCACTAACAAATAATACAGTTCAGTATTCTCTGTCTGGCATCGCTTCTGAAGTCTTCTGGTCTTGCTAACACGGCCATTTGCACTTTTCTTGAATTTTGTCATACGAATTATGCAAGTCATTGTCCTCTTTATTCTTCATTTTATCTATCAGTTGTATACGAAGGCCTTTTGATCATGTAAATTTAGTCCTTGACTTGTATACCTTGGGTCTGAGTTCAACATAAGTATTATTAAATAGATAAATATGCTATCTGAGTTGAGCAAATATACCATATATATTTATTTCAATCTCATTATTATAAGATAAATATTCTACTTACTCTGTCACAATATTTAGTGTGCATAAATCAAAAAATCAAAATTCAATCACTATTCGGTATGAATTTGAATTTATAATAATTGTTAGATTAATCTTTAATTCAATATATCTAATAAATTTTATATTAGTTTTATTTGAATCATTCTACTATATTTTTTCCGATTTAAAATATTATTTAAATATCTATTTTATTGAAATTTTAAATAGTGTTAAAATAATAAAAATACTTTTCTTTCAGTTCTATTCAATGTATTATTTTTTTGTTTTTTTTTTTTTATCTATCATATTTAAAAGTATCAATTTTCTATTGAAGTAGAAGTAATTCAACTATAAATATCAAAATACTCATAACTTTTATATTTATATTCATACTTGCAATGTTAAAATAATAAAAATTTATCCTACATATTTTATTAACTAATAGAATATTATTATTTTTTAATTAATTATAATAATAATAATAATAATAATAATAAAAAAGCACAATGGAGTTGAAGGAGTATACAAATACTTCTAAAATGTTACTCTCTCTCCTTAATCAAAGAGACTTTTTTAAGTTTTGTAGTAAATTAATAAAATATAATATTATTTTATTAGTTAGTCAAAAATATATAAGATTTTTTTTATATTTTTGTAA